ATACAAAAGCATGATTTGGAAATCCAAAACACTTCTAAATAACCAATGTCTCAAGGGGAAAATGTCATAATAGGAATTAGAAAATGCTTTAGGGAACGAATGGAAATGAAAATACATTAAACTGTCAAGGGTAGTCTACAGGGAAGATTATAGCCCTCAAAGCTTATATTACTAAAGGGCAACTAAATATAAATAACATAAGTTGGAAAATGAACAATAAGCCATTGAGTTGATTCTTGGAGGCGTAGTGGGTTATCATTGAACTAACCAGGTCAGTGGCTTGAGCCGACCAGGCTCAGCAGGACAAAGTGGGACTGACTGTCTGCTCCCGGGAAAACTTAGAAGTCTCAGAAACCCTAAGTGGCATTTCTACTCTGTCCTATGGGGTCACTATGAGTCAGAAAGTGAATAATACAAGCAAAAGGAAGTAATAGATAACAAAACACTCAACAGAATCAATAGACCCAAGCTTGAACACTGACAATTCATGCAAAATTAATTGAAAGATTCATAAATGTTATTAGAAAATACAGATACAATTACAATGGCAGCCTATGCTAGAAAATAATTTTCCTTATCTTATTGGGGGCTCTTACAGCTCATCACAATCTATACATCCATCCATTGTGTCAAACATCTGTACATATGTTTTCATCATCTTTTTCAAAACATTTTCTTTCTACTTGAGCCCCTGGCATCAGCTCCTCATTTTCCCCTCCCTCCCCCATGTTCCCTCGATCATTTGCAATTTTTTTTTCATGTCTTACACCAACTGCTGACTCATTTCACCCACTTTTCTGCTGTTTGTCCTGGCATGGGGGCCATATATCGATCATTGTGATCGGTTCTCCCTTACTTCCCCCACTACCCTGACCCTCCTAGTATCACTGCTCCCCTTATTGGTCCTGGAGGTTTATCTGTTCTGGATTCCCTGTGTTGCGAGCTATTATCTGTACCAGTAGACGTGTTCTGGTCTAGCCAGATTTGTAAGAATTGGGATCATGATAAGGGTGGGAGGCATTAAAGAACTAGAGGAAGGATGTACGTTTCATTGAGGAATTTTATGAACAACTTTTGCCAGTAACTTGGAAAACGTTGGTAAAGTAGACACGTTACGGACTCTAAGCAGAGCAAAGCGAACTCCTGCTGCTTTTCGCTGCCATCGAGCTGATTTGCACTCAGTGATGCTGCTTGTCAGGGTTTCTGGGCTGTAATCTTTATGGGGTCAGATAACCAGGCTTCTCTTTCTGGAGTAACTGCATGGATTTGAACTGCCAACCTTGCGGTTAGTAGCCCAGAGTTTAAACATTTGTGTGATGAATGCTCCTTAAACAAACCCCTGGCAACTAACAGTGAAAAAACAAAATACATTTTTTTTAGAATAAAGAAGGTAACATTTGTTCAGCTCCATGTGTTATCATATAAAATTAGGGTTGGTGATGATTACATTTTAATTATTTTATTTAATGTAGTTAGAAAAATACCCCTTTAAAAAACGCTGAAGGTATTTCACTTGATGTAGTCTCTGGAATGTTTATAACTTGCTACACTGCTCAAAAGCAGACAAGATGGATGGGGGTATCACATAAAAGGACCAGATAATGCAGATTCTAAACCAATGGTTCTCAACTTGGGGCCGTGACCCCTTTGGGGGTCGAACGACCCTTTCACAGGGGTTGCTTAGGACCATATTCCTGATCATCTTAGGAACTGAGACACCGTTCCTCCATCCATCTCCAGGCAGGTGCGCCCACATGCAGATACACCCACGTGCGGGGTCACCACAACATGAGGGACTGTATTAAAGGGTCGTGGCATTAGGAAGGTTGAGAACCACTGCTCTAAACCTAACGCACTGCCATCGAATTGAGGCCGGGTCCTGGTCTTTTCTTATTTTCCTGTTAGTGATGAGAAGCCAGGCCCGGCTATCTCGTCAGTGAGCAGACATCCTGAGACTGGCCTAAGACTTGATGAACCTTGTTATTCTGTTTGCTTGGTCATGGTTATCAGTTGTTTCCTGTGGTCACCATGAGACCTGAGTTAATGTACAACATCTGTGTGATTCCTCAAAGTGGACAGTCAAAGCCAAAGACATGTATCCTCTGTGCGTTAGATTTCAAACGGGACTACAGAGACGGTCTATTAGCACTGTTGTGGTCTCCTCGCTGGTATACATTCTAAACCACGGTTCTCAACCTGTGGATCGGGACCCCTTTGGGGGTCGAACGACCCTTTCACAGGAGTCACCCGATTCATAACAGTAGCAAAATTACAGTTATGAAGCAGCAATGAAAATAATTTTATGGTTGGGGGGGTGGGTCACCACAACATGAGGAACTGTATTAAAGGGTCACAGCATTAGGAAGGTTGAGAACCACTGTTCTAAATAAAATCTTTCTCCTTCTGACTTGGAGTGGGTAAACTGGCTGTGACGCTCCAGTTACCTGTATTTCAGGCGACAGTGGCACCTGTTTCAGCTTTTAGTCAGTCCTGATTGGGAAACAAATTCCACCAAAAGTAGTCCTGCAAATCTCGTTACCATTTGAATCTTTTCTTGTCTTGGCTTTCACATGTAAAAGCTATAAAAAATCTTGGGCTGTTCCAGGATGTAGGAACATACTTGCTTGTTAACCATGAAGAATTTCTCACGCTGCATTCTCTGAAAAGGTGTTCATTTTGCACGACTGAAAAACCAGGTACACCTCATCGCAACACTATCAACAGCAGAATGAAATAGTGCCCGGTGCTGGGCCGCCCTCACAACAATTCTTGTGCTTGAACCCATTGGTGCAGCCATCGTGTTAATCCACCTTGCTGGGGGCCTTCCTCTTTTTGCTGCCTCTCTGATTTACCAAGCACGATGTCCTTCTCTAGGGACTGGCCTCTTTTGACAACGTGTCCAAAGTATGGGAGACAAAGTCTCACCACCCTTACCTCTAAGGAGGATTCTGGCTCCTACATACTTCTTCAAAGACCATGTGTTTGTTCTTTTGGAAGTCCACGGTGCTTTCAATATTCTTCACCGACACCGTGACTCCAATGCTTCAATTCTATCATGTCTTCCTTAATGTCCAACTTTCACGATGCATCCCAGGCAATTGAAAACACCACGGCTTCGGTCAGGCCCCCTTCATCCTCCAAGTAACATCCCTGCATTCCAACACGTAAGGAAGTCTCGTGCAGCAGATTCACCCAGTGCCGCGTCCTGTAGTCTCCACTGCTGTCCCCATGGGCATCAACTGGATCCAAGCAAGGCGAGATCCTTGACCACTTTCGTCTTGGCTCCGTTTACCATGATGTGACCTACTGGTCCAGTTGTGAGCATTTGGGTCTTTCGATTGATTTATAATCCATACTGAAGGCTGCAATCTTTGCTCTTCATCAGCAAATGCTTCAGGTCATCACTTTCTGCAAGCAAGGTCGTGCCATCTGTGTATCTCAGGTTACCACTAAGCCTTCCTCTAATCCTGATCCCACATGTTTCTTCATATAATACAGCTTCTCAGATTATTTGCTCAGCATACCTATTGAGTAAGTATGGTGAGAGGATACAACCCTGACTCACACCTTTCCTGATTTTAACCATGTAGTACTCCCTTGTTCTGTTCCCACAACTGTCCATTGATCCATGTACAAGTTCCACACGAGCACAATGAAGTGTTCTGCAGTTCTCATTCTTCTTAAGGTTATCCACAGTTTGTTATGATCCACTCACACAGTTGAATGCTTTCACATAGTCAGTAAAACACAATGTATTGCTGGATGATGTTCAGCAAAAAATTCACTTGCATATGATATTGTTCTATAATCTGAACATTCTGTTGGATCACCTTTCTTTGGTACAGGTACCAATGTGCATCTATCTCTTCCAGTCAGTTCGCCAACTAGCTGTCTTCCAAATATCCTGGCACAGATGATTGAGGGCTTCCAGCGCTTCATCTACTTGCTGAAATATTTCAGTTGTTATTCTATCAATTCCAGGAGCCTCATTTTGGCTAATACTTTCAGTGCAGCTTGAGCTTCTTCCTTCTGTACCATTGGTCCTTGCTCATCTGCTACCTCCTGGAATGTTGACTTCTCTCTCTCTCTCTCTCT